AGATAGCTACCCCATGTGAGTTAGAGATAGCTACCACGTGTGAGTTAGAGATAGCTACCCCGTGTGAGTTAGAGACAGCTACCCCGTGTGAGTTAGAGATAGCTACCCCGTGTGAGTTAGAGATAGCTACCCTGTGTGAGATAGAGATAGCTACCCCGTGTGAGTTAGAGACAGCTACACCGTGTGAGTTAGAGATAGCTACCCAGTGTGAGTTAGAGATAGCTACCCCGTGTGAGTTAGAGATAGCTACACCGTGTGAGTTACAGATAGCTACACTGTGTGAGTTAGAGATAGCTACCCCATGTGAGTTAGAGATAGCTACACCGTGTGAGTTACAGATAGCTACACTGTGTGAGTTAGAGATAGCTACCCTGTGTGAGTTAGAGATAGCTACCCTGTGTGAGTTAGAGATAGCTACCCTGTGTGAGTTAGAGATAGCTACCACGTGTGAGTTAGAGATAGCTACCCCGTGTGAGTTAGAAATAGCTACCCAGTGTGAGTTAGAGATAGCTACCCCGTGTGAGTTAGAGACAGCTACCACGCGTGAGTTAGAGATAGCTACACCGTGTGAGTTACAGATAGCTACACTGTGTGAGTTAGAGATAGCTACCCCATGTGAGTTAGAGATAGCTATGCCGTGTGAGTTCGAGATAGCTACACCGTGTGAGTTAGAGATAGCTACCCTGTGTGAGTTAGAGACAGCTACCCCATGTGAGTTCGAGATAGCTACACCGTGTGAGTTAGAGATAGCCACCCTGTGTGAGTTAGAGATAGCTACCCCATGTGAGTTACAGACAGCTACCACGTGTGAGTTATAGATAGCTACCCCGTGTGAGTTAGAGATAGCTACCCCGTGTGAGATAGAGATAGCTACACCGTGTGAGTTAGAGATAGCTACCCCGTGTGAGTAAGAGATAGCTACACCGTGTGAGTTAGAGATAGCTACCCTGTGTGAGTTAGAGATAGTTACACCATGTGAGTTAGAGATAGCTACCCCGTGTGAGATAGAGATAGCTACCCTGTGTTAGTTAGAGATAGCTACCCCGTGTGAGTTAGAGACAGCTACCCCGTGTGAGTTAGAGATAGCTACCCCGTGTGAGTTAGAGATAGCTACCCCGTGTGAGTTAGAGACAGCTACCCCGTGTGAGATAGAGATAGCTACACCGTGTGAGTTAGAGATAGCTACACCGTGTGAGTTAGAGATAGCTACCCCGTGTGAGTAAGAGATAGCTACACTGTGTGAGTTAGAGATAGCTACCCCGTGTGAGTAAGAGATAGCTACCCCATGTGAGTTAGAGATAGCTACCCCGTGTGAGTTAGAGATAGCTACACCATGTGAGTTAGAGATAGCTACACCGTGTGAGTTAGAGATAGCTACCCCGTGTGAGTAAGAGATAGCTACCCCATGTGAGTTAGAGATAGCTACCCCGTGTGAGTTAGAGATAGCTACCCTGTGTGAGTTAGAGATAGCTACCACGTGTGAGTTAGAGATAGCTACCCCGTGTGAGTTAGAAATAGCTACCCAGTGTGAGTTAGAGATAGCTACCCCGTGTGAGTTAGAGACAGCTACCACGCGTGAGTTAGAGATAGCTACACCGTGTGAGTTACAGATAGCTACACTGTGTGAGTTAGAGATAGCTACCCCATGTGAGTTAGAGATAGCTATGCCGTGTGAGTTCGAGATAGCTACACCGTGTGAGTTAGAGATAGCTACCCTGTGTGAGTTAGAGACAGCTACCCCATGTGAGTTCGAGATAGCTACACCGTGTGAGTTAGAGATAGCCACCCTGTGTGAGTTAGAGATAGCTACCCCATGTGAGTTACAGACAGCTACCACGTGTGAGTTATAGATAGCTACCCCGTGTGAGTTAGAGATAGCTACCCCGTGTGAGATAGAGATAGCTACACCGTGTGAGTTAGAGATAGCTACCCCGTGTGAGTAAGAGATAGCTACACCGTGTGAGTTAGAGATAGCTACCCTGTGTGAGTTAGAGATAGTTACACCATGTGAGTTAGAGATAGCTACCCCGTGTGAGATAGAGATAGCTACCCTGTGTTAGTTAGAGATAGCTACCCCGTGTGAGTTAGAGACAGCTACCCCGTGTGAGTTAGAGATAGCTACCCCGTGTGAGTTAGAGATAGCTACCCCGTGTGAGTTAGAGACAGCTACCCCGTGTGAGATAGAGATAGCTACACCGTGTGAGTTAGAGATAGCTACACCGTGTGAGTTAGAGATAGCTACCCCGTGTGAGTAAGAGATAGCTACACTGTGTGAGTTAGAGATAGCTACCCCGTGTGAGTAAGAGATAGCTACCCCATGTGAGTTAGAGATAGCTACCCCGTGTGAGTTAGAGATAGCTACACCATGTGAGTTAGAGATAGCTACACCGTGTGAGTTAGAGATAGCTACCCCGTGTGAGTAAGAGATAGCTACCCCATGTGAGTTAGAGATAGCTACCCCGTGTGAGTTAGAGATAGCTACCCTGTTTGAGTTAGAGATAGCTACCCCGTGTGAGTTAGAGATAGCTACCCTGTGTGAGATAGAGATAGCTACACCGTGTGAGTTACAGATAGCTACCCCATGTGAGTTAGAGACAGCTACCCCATGTGAGTTATAGATAGCTACCCCGTGTGAGTAAGAGATAGCTACCCCATGTGAGTTAGAGATAGCTACCCCGTGTGAGTTAGAGATAGCTACCCTGTGTGAGTTAGAGATAGCTACACCGTGTGAGTTAGAGATAGCTACCTCGTGTGAGTTAGAGATAGCTACACCGTGTGAGTTAGAGATAGCTACACCGTGTGAGTTAGAGACAGCTACCCCATGTGAGATAGAGATAGCTACCCCGTGTGAGTTAGAGATAGCTACCCTGTGTGAGTTAGAGATAGCTACCCTGTGTGAGTTAGAGATAGCTACCCCGTGTGAGTTAGAGACAGCTACCCCATGTGAGTTACAGATAGCTACCCCGTGTGAGTAAGAGATAGCTACCCCATGTGAGTTAGAGATAGCTACCCCGTGTGAGTTAGAGATAGCTACCCTGTGTGAGTTAGAGATAGCTACACCGTGTGAGTTAGAGATAGCTACCCCGTGTGAGTTAGAGATAGCTACACCGTGTGAGTTAGAGATAGCTACCCCATGTGAGTTAGAGACAGCTACCCCATGTGAGTTACAGATAGCTACCCCGTGTGAGTAAGAGATAGCTACCCCATGTGAGTTAGAGATAGCTACCCCGTGTGAGTTAGAGATAGCTACCCTGTGTGAGTTAGAGATAGCTACACCGTGTGAGTTAGAGATAGCTACCCCGTGTGAGTTAGAGATAGCTACCCTGTGTGAGTTAGAGATAGCTACACCGTGTGAGTTAGAGATAGCTACCCCGTGTGAGTTAGAGACAGCTACCCTGTGTAAGTTAGAGATAGCTACACCATGTGAGTTAGAGATAGCTACCCAGTGTGAGTTAGAGACAGCTACCCCGTGTGAGTTAGAGATAGCTACCCCGTGTGAGTTAGAGATAGCTACCCCGTGTGAGTTAGAGATAGCTACCCCGTGTGAGTTAGAGATAGCTACCCTGTGTGAGTTAGAGATAGCTACCCCGTGTGAGTTAGAGATAGCTACGCCATGTGAGTTAGAGATAGCTACCCCATGTGAGTTAGAGATAGCTACCCTGTGTGAGTTAGAGATAGCTACCCCGTGCGAGTTAGAGATAGCTACGCCGTGTGAGTTAGAGATAGCTACACCGTGTGAGATAGAGATAGCTACCCCATGTGAGTTAGAGATAGCTACACCGTGTGAGATAGAGATAGCTACCCAGTGTGAGTTAGAGATAGCTACCCCGTGTGAGTTAGAGATAGCTACCCCGTGTGAGTTAGAGATAGCTACACTGTGTGAGTTAGAGATAGCCACCCCGTGTGAGTTAGAGATAGCTACCCCGTGTGAGTTAGAGATAGCTACCCCACGTGAGTTAGAGATAGCTACCCCGTGTGAGTTAGAGATAGCTACCCCTTGTGAGTTAGAGATAGCTACCCCGTGTGAGTTAGAGATAGCTACCCCGTGTGAGTTAGAGATAGCTACCCCATGTGAGTTAGAGATAGCTACCCTGTGTGAGTTAGAGATAGCTACACTCTGTGAGTTAGAGATAGCTACCCTGTGTGAGTTAGAGATAGCTACCCCATGTGAGTTAGAGACAGCTACCCCGTGTGAGTTAGAGATAGCTACCCCTTGTGAGTTAGAGACAGCTACCCCGTGTGAGTTAGAGATAGCTACACTGTGTGAGTTAGAGATAGCTACCCTGTGTGAGTTAGAGATAGCTACCCCATGTGAGTTAGAGACAGCTACCCTGTGTGAGTTAGAGATAGCCACCCCGTGTGAGTTAGAGATAGCTACCCTGTGTGAGTTAGAGACAGCTACACCGTGTGAGTTAGAGATAGCCAACACCGTGTGAGACACCTCCCTAGGGTAGCTGGTGAAGGGGCAGCTATACCCAGTCGTGGTTAGGGTTTAATGTCTCAATAAGCGTGTTGCCTCCAAAGAAGTCTCTGCCTCCTTCTTGTGAGCCATTACAGGAATACTCATACTTTCGCTTTAAAGCTTTCGTGACTGCAAGGATTCATCTTCTTTGGTTCTTTCGGTAAAGTCACCACCACGTAGAATGAGAATAAAATAATAAATTGATAAAATAAAGTAACGCGATAAATTATCTCTCTTCATCACCTGATCAGGTGATGAAGGCCGCTTGTGTTGTGGCCGAAACGTCGTGAGAATATTATTGTGTTATTTTATTTTATCAATGTATTATTTTATTCTCATTCTACGTGGTGGCGACTTTGCCGAAAGAACCAAAGAAGATGAATACTCATACTCTTTGTTTTTTTTCGGTAAAGTCACGTAGGTAAAAAACAAATAAAAGTTACATCACGACGTTTCGGAGGCAACACAAGCTTCCGTCTTCAGGTGTAACCAGTCACAGCAAGATCGCTTGCGTCGTTTTGGTGTTGGTGGTGGTTACCTCTCCTCCATGGTTTCTCTGATGGCAGCCACAGTGGGCCCGGCGCACAGGTGAGTGTAGTAAGGTCCCTCCTCCTTCTCGAGCACAGTCTCTACAGAGAGAGACACATGGGGAGAGAGAGACGCGGGGAGAGAGAAGCGGGGAGAGAGACGCGGGGAGTGAGAGACACACGGGGAGAGAGAGAGACGCGGGGAGTGAGACACGGGGAGTGAGACGCGGGGAGTGAGAGACGGGAGAGAGACGCGGGGAGAGAGAGACACACGGGGAGAGAGACGCGGGGAGAGAGACGCGGGGAGAGAGAGACACGGGGAGTGAGACACGGGGAGTGAGAGACACGGGGAGTGAGAGAGACACACGCGGAGAGAGACGCGGGGAGAGAGAGACGCGGGGAGAGAGAGACACGGGGAGTGAGAGAGACACGCGGGGAGAGAGACGCGGGGAGAGAGACGCGGGGAGAGAGACATGGCGAGAGACACGGGGAGAGAGACACAGGGAGAGAGAGACAGGGAGAGAGACACGGGGAAAAAGAGACACGGGGAAAGAGAGACACGGGGAGAGAGAGACACGGGGAGAGAGATACAGGGAGAGAGAGAGAGAGACACGGGGAGAGAGATACAGGGAGAGAGAGAGACAGGGAGAGAGACACGGGGAGAGAGAGAGACACGGTAAGAGAGGCATGGGGAGTGAGAGACGCGGGGAGAGAGAGAGACACACGGGGAGAGAGAGACGCGGGGAGTGAGACGCGGGGAGTGAGAGACACGGGGAGTGAGAGAGACACACGCGGAGAGAGACGCGGGGAGAGAGACGCGGGGAGTGAGAGACGCGGGGAGTGAGACGCGGGGAGAGAGACGCGGGGAGAGAGACGCGGGGAGAGAGACGCGGGGAGAGAGACGCGGGGAGAGAGACGCGGGAAGAGAGACGCGGGGAGAGAGATGCGGGGAGAGAGACGCGGGGAGAGAGACATGGGGAGAGAGACACGGGGAGAGAGACGGGGAGAGAGACACAGGGAGAGACAGAGAGACATGGAGAGAGACACGGGGAGTGAGAGACACACGGGGAGAGACACGCGGGGAGAGAGACGCGGGGAGAGAGACGCGGGGAGGGAGACACGGGGAGAGAGACACAGGGAGAGACAGAGAGACATGGAGAGAGACACGGGGAGAGAGAGACACGGGAAGAGAGACATGTTGAGTGAGACGCGGGGAGAGAGACGCGGGGAGAGAGACACGGGGAGAGAGACACAGGGAGAGACAGAGAGACATGGAGAGAGACACGGGGAGAGAGAGACACGGGAAGAGAGACACGGGGAGAGAGACATGGGGAGAGACACGGGGAGAGAGACACAGGGAGAGAGAGAGACATGGAGAGAGACACGGGGAGTGAGAGACACACGGGGAGAGACACGCGGGGAGAGAGACGCGGGGAGAGAGACGCGGGGAGAGAGACACGGGGAGAGAGACACGGGGAGAGAGACACAGGGAGAGACAGAGAGACATGGAGAGAGACACGGGGAGAGAGAGACACGGGAAGAGAGACATGGGGAGTGAGAGACACGGGGAGTGAGAGACACGGGGAGTGAGAGACACGGGGAGTGAGAGATACAGGGAGTGAGAGACAAGGGGAGTGAGAGACACACGGGGAGAGAGATGTGGGGAGAGAGCCGCGGGGAGAGAGACACGGGGAGAGACACGCGGGGAGAGAGACGCGGGGAGAGAGACGCAGGGAGAGAGATGCGGGGAGAAAGACGCGGGGAGAGAGACACGGGGAGAGAGAGACACGGGAAGAGAGACATGGGGAGTGAGAGACACGGGGAGTGAGAGACACGGGGAGTGAGAGACACGGGGAGAGAGACATGGGGAGAGACATGGGGAGAGACACGGGGAGAGACAGGCGGAGTGAGATACACAGGGAGAGAGATACGGGCAGAGAGACACGGGGAGTGAGAGACACGGGCAGAGAGAGACGGGAAGTGAGACACGGGGAGTGAGAGACACGGGGAGTGAGAGACACGGGCAGAGAGACACGGGCAGAGAGAGACGGGAAGAGAGACACGGGGAGTGAGAATCACGGGGAGTGAGAGACACGGGCAGAGAGACACGGGCAGAGAGAGACGGGAAGAGAGACAGGGAGAGTGAGAGACACGGACAGAGAGAGAGACGGGAAGAGAGACACGGGTAGAGAGAGACATGGTAAGAGAGACACGGGTAGAGAGAGAGAGAGAGACATGGGGGGGGGAGAGACACGGGCAGAGATACACAGGCAGAGAGAGACGGGAAGAGAGGCAGGGAGAGTGAGAGACATGGACAGAGAGAGACGGGAAGTGAGACACGGGTAGAGAGAGAGACATGGGGGTGGAGAGACACAGGTAGAGAGACATGGGGAGTGAGAGACACGGGCAGAGAGAGACGGGAAGAGAGACAGGGAGAGTGAGAAACACGGACAGAGAGAGACATGGTAAGAGAGACACGGGTAGAGAGAGATAGAGAGAGACATGGGGGGGGGGGGGGGGGGGGGGGGGGGAGAGACACAGGTAGAGAGAAACGGGGAGTGAGAGACACGGGGAGTGAGAGACAAGGGGAGTGAGAGACACGGGGAGAGAGACATGGGGAGAGACATGGGGAGAGACACGGGGAGAGACAGGCGGAGTGAGATACACAGGGAGAGAGATACGGGCAGAGAGACACGGGCAGAGAGACACGGGCAGAGAGACACGGGCAGAGAGAGACGGGAAGTGAGACACGGGGAGTGAGAGACACGGGCAGAGAGACACGGGCAGAGAGACACGGGCAGAGAGATACGGGCAGAGAGACACGGGGAGTGAGAGACATGGGCAGAGAGAGACGGGAAGAGAGACAGGGAGAGTGAGAGACATGGTAAGAGAGACACGGGTAGAAAGAGAGAGAGAGACATGGGGGGGGAAAGACACAGGTAGAGAGACATGGAGAGTGAGAGACACGGGTAGAGAGCCCGAGACACGGGGAAAGAGAGACACGGGGAGAGAGAGACGGGAAGGGAGACATGGTAAGAGAGACACGGGTAGAGAGAGACATGGTAAGAGAGACACGGGCAGAGAGAGAGAGAGACATGGGGGTGGAGAGACACAGGTAGAGAGACACGGGAAATGAGGAGTGAGACGCCGTGACGCCTCATCAATATTCATATCCACACCACATCATGAATATTCATATCCACACCACATCATGAATATTCATTAATATTCACTTGGCGTAGGCAGGGGCGTGGGAACCAGACAGACTGGGGGGAAGGGCAAAGGAGGAGGGGGGGGGGTGGTAAACCCCCCCCCTCCTCCCTCATCTGCATATCCCTCATTTGCATATCGGTCTGTAAAGCAGCCTCCTGTAAATCACCGCCTTTGTCTCCCACCCCTTCGCCCTCCCCTGCGGTGCTGATCTTTAACAACACACCGCAGCGCACAAGGTGGACAGTGATGGAGGGGGGTGGACAAGCAAGGATATGGTGTTTGTGAACCGCCTGTTGGGCAATAATCAGCGCCACGAACCTTATTACGGACCAATTCAGACATTGTTGGTCACCCCGTGCCTCTTATACATTTCAACGTTCGCCCCACAAAGTCCCATCACAAGGCAGAGACACCAACAAAATGAATTTAACAAACAAAAAAAAACACGTGTTTTTGTTGCACGTATTGAAACGGCTGTGCGTTGCATGTCACCCGGGAAACTCGATTTCCCCGTACAAAGAACGCGGGGGCAAGCCGTATGGGTTTGACAGGCGTGATAAACACCCGAGTTTGTGTGTTCAGATGGTCAAACAACGATTAAAAGATAAAGCCCCACACTATTGCAAGACATCGGCAAGTCTCTGCATGAACCATGCAACGCGTTAACATTCACTGTGCGTGCAACGCATGGTTCATCCATTCGTTTCTCAATCGACTTTGTCCTGACGAGGGTCGAGGGCTTGTGGCACAAAAACAAGCAAACACAAACGTCCTCCGAAGAGCATCGTAATGTTGCACGCATTGTCTTTGAAACGTATTGGCCTACACGAGAGACAGCCTTCATAAGTGTCCACGTGGTGGTGGTGATGATGATGATGGTATCAGCCACTTCGTTGAGACGCCATCATCTGTGATGGGCCAGGTCACAAATTCTGAAAAGGAGCTACGTAACTCGGCAGGACTATGAAAAACAATTTGGACTATGGGTCTGTATGTATCTCTGTAGGTTTAGAGCATTAGGCTGCTATACATTTCCACACAGTGATGACGACGATGATGATGATGATGATGGTATCAGCCACTTCGGTTGAGCCGCTATAATTTGTGATAGGCCAGGTCAGAGCTTCTTAAAAAGCCCGACACAGAAGCTCAGCGGGGCCTCGCACGGAGTGCAAAATAAAATGTTGTTTATAGTAATAGGTTTTTACCCTTTTAACTGGCACAAAAAACTGACACCCTTGTTCAAGGCATCGTGTTTGCAATAACCACAACTGGCAAAGGAGGTCTCATAATGTAAAATGTTGTTTAGTTCATGGCCTCGTCTCTGTACCAACATTAGACCAGAGAACGCATTTTGGCGTTTTCTGGTCTAATACAGAGAACGCATTTTGGCGTTTTCTAACATAGAGGACGCATTTTGGCGTTCTCTGTTCTAACACAGAGAAGGCATTTTGGCGTTTTCTGGTCTAACACAGAGAACGCATTTTGGCGTTCTCTGGTCTAACACTGGTACAGAGACGAGGTCATAAAGAAGGCTATCTCTGGTGTCGGCCAATCAGTTTAAAAGACAATGCATACATTATTATTATCTGAGCATGTTTGTTTGTATGTTTTGCCACAAGTGTGTGGTTAATGCAGACGCGATGCCTTGTAATAATGGGCATCTATTTTGGTTGTTTGAACATCTTCACACAACTCCTGTTTTAATGCCATAGAGATCCACAGAGATCCACACTCGAAGTGGTTGATATAATCGTGTGAACTTTTTTTATAACAGCAGCGAAATGCTCGATACGCATGTTTCTACAGACTCGCAGAGACCCATAGAGATCCATGCTCATCGAGACTCATACGAAAACTAAACAAAAAAATTTTCTTCTTTTACCAGGCAAGGCCCACTGAGCTATGTAACTCTTTTCCAGAAGTGACACGGCCACAGATGATAGCTCAACGGAGTTGCTGATATCATCATCAGCATCATCATCATTGTCGTGTGGAAATTTATAGCAGCGGACAAATACTCCAAACACGCGATGTCGATTCTCAAATGTGGAGGGGAAAACAGGAAGACCTGGAGAAAAATTAACGCGACCATCATGGGGAGAGAGAGAGATAGAGAGAGAGATTCCGCAATTGTCAGGGTCGGGATCAAACCCACGACCTCTTGCATACCAAGCCAAGTAGTTAACATCTCCTAGCCACCACGGCAAACCCCTCTCACTACTCCCACCCCCACCACTCACCCACAGGGTTTTTTTTAACAGCAGCAGAGCCAGGCTCTGCTTGAACCAATGCCGGTGAACTGCCCAGACGTTTATTGGCATTGAGGACCGATTTCGACATTCAGCGTCTCATCAGCAGTCCAACTCTTGAGTCTCTAAAGCCTGGATTGAGACGATTCTACATCATCGCCACCATCACCACCTTCCCGCCCACACCTCCAATTGGCGCAGTTGGCTACGTGCGGTATGAACGAGGCTCAACAACGCACGTACATCCACACTGTTATACACTACACTGCTACACACTACACCGTACACAACCTCCGATTAGCATGGTTGCCTACGTAATGGTGCGAAATAAGTTCAACACACACACGTGAGTACCACCACCAACAACAACAACAACCGCCATTCACAACTAAGTTGCGGCGACGCAACCACGGCGCCTGTGCCAGGCTAGGTGCACTATAATGCCACGTGAAGCATCGAACGCCAGCTGGCAGGAAGTCACGGGACAGACGCTTTGGGTGCCATGGGTTGACTAACTGCGATGACAATAATAATAATAATCCCATGTATTTAGTGGCTTTTCAGCAAGAGAATCTCAAAGCGCTGCACAGGACACAGCAGCAGTGGCAGACATTTAGCATGAAACATACTTACATTATATAATTACGTTTGAAAAAAATGCATTCACGTTGAACAAAGTGTACGCGAATAGGTTGCAAGACGCATTTCAAAAATGACTCTGAGAAATCCTGATACCGCGTTGAAGGGCGTTGCATAGCCTGGGGGCTACAGAGTGAAAAAAAAAAAATCTCGGGTCACCCACTGACCAAAGCCTCGACCCGGGAACGCGGAGCAGATCTGCGCATCCCCCAGATCATAGGGGCCGCGAGGTGCGTTAACAAGAGGAATTTCTTACTGTAACTGAAACTGAAACCCCAGTGCTAGGCAGGACAACACGGACGTAACGTGACGATGTTCCGGTAAACACCCGAGCCAGCCACATTCGGAACATGCTGCAATTCGAGATGACTGGCAACAAGCTGCACCACCCCCCCCGCCCCGCTCACCCCTCCTAACAAAACCAACCACCGCTATTTACCACTAAGGGGAGGTGGTGATGTCACCACGGCGACCGTGCCAGGCTAGGTGCAGTTTACGGGCACGTGAAGTGGATTTCCCTACACCTCTGCTGTAGCAGATGGACAAAAAAAGCGTGGCATCTGTGCAGGACCGCCCTGGTCTGAAACCGCATTGGGGCTCTGCAAGCCTCTCCTCGGCGTGCCCGGTAAGACGATGTTGAGTAATTCTTGCCACGACCTTTCCTGGCACATTGAGGAGGGAGATGCCCATGTACTTGTTATAATCTGTGCGGTCCCCCTTTCTTACAGTGGGGGACCACCAGAGCATCCTTCCAATCCTGGGAGATCATCTCTGCCCGGCACTTTCCTTTGTCTCAGACCATGGATCACCTTCCATACTGCCTCAACAGTCGGAACTTCAGCCAGCCACCCACAGGGGGTGACTACTTCTTCCAATATTTGAGGCACGACAGCCTCAGCAGGTTTGTCCCCACTTTGCCTTGATGTTTTCGGGGCTTGAAGGATTTCCCATCCCTCAAGACCTCACAAAAATGCTCGGCAAATATGTAAACTTATTCCTGTGGGTCAGAGATCGGATCATATTACTTTCCCCTAAGAATGGTGATAGCTATGGGACTGCAAGTCACTTGTAAGGGATCCCTTGTGTAAAGGTGTCAGTTTTTGTGCCAGATAAAAGGGTAAAAACCTATTATTATATCTTGCTACTGGCAAAGGAGGTCTCATAATGTAAATGCTCACCCCGAGCCCTCAATACTCTGATAGTGCGCTGTTTTTGAGTTGTACGCCTTTTGGCGTCTTCTGGTCCAACACCAGTGGAGACTAAGGGCTCTAAGAAAAGCCGTCTCGGGTGTGGACAATCAATTTCAAGGACAGTGCCAATATCATTATCAGAGTTGTCTATTTTTGTTTGCATTTTGACTGCTTGTGTTGTGGTTATTGCCAACATGATCCCTTGTATAAAGGTGTCAGTTTTGGTGCCAGATGAAAGGGTAAAAACCTATATCTTGCTACTGGCAAAAGAGGTCTCATAATGCAAGTCACTTTTTTGATGGAATTAAACAGTAATTTGTGATCGCAAGCTACTGAAGCAGACTCCATCTCCTCAGCAACCTGTGACCACCACTCATACTTGCAATGGGCCATGGCTCTCCAAACCTTCGAGCGAAGGCTGTGGAAGCCTCCTCATTCTCCGACGTGGGATGCTGTAAACGGTGGGAGTGGGCCTGTAGCCTTTTCTCAGCCAGCTGGAACACCTCCTCCATCAGCCAAGGTCTTTAAGGAGGTTTTGACCATGTCCCCAAAGTAACCATTCCAGCTGCATGAGCCAAAGTCTTTAACTTCGTCCATTTCTCCTCGGCACCAGAATGTGGGGGGGACGATGACAACCCCAGCTGCATGCAATGATGAAATTCTCGCTTCCAACTTTCATCAGCAATCTGAGACAGGCCACTGTCGGTTTCAATGGGGTCTGAGATGGACATCCACCACCAGAGTGGAAGAATGGCAAGTGCTTCATCTTACAGATGACAAGCCGATGGTCAGTGGGCAGATCAGCTCCACGGTAGGTCCTGGTGTCAAGGACATGGCCCTGCATCTGCTGTTCCGTCACTATGTAGTCCAGCAGATGTTCTTGCTTAGACCTGGTGTGCAACCATGTTGTTGCGTGGATGCTCAAATGCCGGAACAGGGTGTTGGTAATTACAAGCCCATGGGCTGCACAGAAGTCTATCAGCCTCCTATCGTTGTTATTGAGCTCATCTGGCCCATGCCTTCCAATCATCCTAGCACAGGTGCCAGCATCATGACCCACTCAGACATTGAAGTCACCCAACAGGATTACTTTATCCCGATGGGCCACTTAAGATAGCACCTGTGACAGGAGGTTATAAAAGTCTGACTCACTGATGTTCATCTTTGGTGGAGGCGTAAGCAACCACCACCATCATTGCTTGCCTCCTGTTTATGGGAAGGAAAGCCCACAGTAGCCTCGGGCTTACAGCTTCCCACACCTCACCACAACGCTCCCTTCATTCTTTTGTTTAGAATAAGAGCCACTCCCTGTGGTTCAGCAATCTCCTGCACAGAGTGGAGGACTCTCCATCCCTCATGGTGACAGGAGCCACAGCCGGTCCGCCGGACCTCCTGAATGCCACAGAGAACCAGGCGGTACTTGCCCAGCTCCCGACGGAGAAGTGACAGCCTCTCCTCCGCAGTGAGAATTCGTACATTCCATGTGGCCACTTGCAGTGTTTTTTTGTGCCATTTCTGGAGGAACTCCAAGGTTAAGGATTCAGTCCGCTGGCTCTGCCGAATGGGGTTTGGCCAGTAGACATCATTGATGCCTCTCCCCCTGGGGACTTAGCCGAAATGTGGAGGGGTTTACCAGCCCCTCGCACCTGTCCAGAGCTCCCGTTGGCCACTGTGGTGGCTGCAAACGCCACGCCGGGGGGGGGGGGGAATAGCCAATTAAAAATTGGCCTTCTTCTCCATGGCCTTACCCGCCACAGTGTCACAGTCAGGCACACCGCTCACCCACATTCACCATCACTCACCCAACCCCTACTCACCCACACACGTGCACGTGGGGAACTCGCTGATCGGAGGCAGCAGTGGCGTCCTCGCCCTGGGCGGCTCCCCGGCCTTGGCGGGGTCTTCCCCCACCACCTCCACCTCCCCCTCCTCCTTCTCCTTCTCCTCCGTCCGGGCCGCGGCCCCCACCGAGGGCTTCTCCCCCGGGGCCTCCACGTGCAGGGAGGGGGCCGTGGGCGGGGCGGCCGTCTCCCCGGGGTGCAGCACTCGCCTCACCGCTTCGGTCAGGAAACGCCCGGGGGAGGCCAAAAACGCGTCCAGGGACGGGGCCGCCGCTGCCGCCGGGCTCTGCCGGGAGCCCCCGGCCTCGGCGGCGGCCCCTCCCTCCCCCTCCCCGCCGCCCCCGCCGGCGTCCACGGTGGAGCGGAGGACGGCCACGGAGCCCGACACGTCCAAGCGGGCTCGGCCGCCCCCCTTGGCTAGGCCGAGCCTGTAGGCCCGCGCCGGGTGGCGGTGGTGCTGTGGGTGGTGCTGTGGGTGGTGCTGTGGGTGGTGCTGTGGGTGGTGCTGTGGGTGGTGCTGTGGGTGGTGCTGTGGGTGGTGCTGTGGGTGGTGCTGTGGGTGGTGCTGTGGGTGGTGCTGTGGGTGGCCGAGGTGGCGGTGGGGGGTGGTGGCCGCCATCGGCACGGACGAAGGAGGGAAACCCCCTGCCGAAGCGGCGGAGGCTGCGGAGGAGGGCAGAGGGGGAGGCACGGAGGGAGGAGCCGGGGAGACCTCGAGGATGCGCAGGAGTTCGGAGTGGGGGCTCCGATCGGCGGGCTTCGATCGAGCCACGACTCCTCCCCCATCCTGTGATCCGCCGCCATCTTGTAATCCCCGACCGCTGCCGCCGCCATCTTGTAATCCGTCATCGGCTGGCGAGCCTCTGCCGTGTCGTAATCCGCCGGCGTCTTGCGACTGTCCGACATCTTGTAATCCTCCGCCGCCGCCATCTTGTAATCCTCCGCCGCCGCCATCTTGTAATCCTCCGCCGCCATCTTGTCGTCTGCCACCATCTTGCAACCGGCCGCCACCTCCTAGTCCATCTCCATCTTGTAATCCTCCGCCGCCGCCATCTTGTAATCCTCCGCCGCCATCTTGCAATCTGCCACCATCTTGTAATCCTCCGCCATCTTGCAATCTGCCACCATCTTGTATCCGGCCGCCATCTTGCTTTGCTTTCTCCTGCCCCTTCTGCTTCTTCTTCTTCTTCTTCTTCACCTCCTCCTCTGCGGTCAAGGAGGCCTCAGCGGTGTCAGTGGCCGGCTTTAACCCCCGATTCTGCTGCTGATGCTGTTGCAAATGGTGCTGCTGCTGCTGCTGATGATGCTGCTGCTGGCCGATGACGTTGTTGAGATGCTGGAGATGCTGGTGATGTGGTTGGTAATGGTTGTTAAGGTGGTTGTTGCTGCTGCTGATGCTGCTGATGCTGCTGCTGTGGTCGTGGTGGTGGTGGTGGCTGTTGTTGAGGTGCTGCTGCTGCTGCTGTTGTTGCTGCTGCTGCTGCTGCTGATATTTGCCTGAGGACTGTAGCAAGTTCAAGGCCTTTCCTGAGGAAAATGGCAGCTGCAACTGTTGCTGCTGCTGCTGCTGCTGGTGATGCTGGTGTTGTTGAAGCTGATGCTGCAACTGAAGCTGCTGCTGATGATGATGTTGCTGCTGCTGATGATGATGATGATGAATCTGCTGATGCTGATGATGATTAGCCGACTGACTCTCCAACTCCTCGAAGAACCGAACTGCTGAAAAGGCCCCACTTTTTAATGGCCCCTCTTGCTGCTGCTGCTGCTGATGATGATGCTGCTGCTGCTGATGCTGCTGCTGCAGATGATGATGCTGATGCTGCTGCTGCTGCTGCTGATGATGAGGGGTCATCACCGCCTGCCCACGACTCACGGAGGCAAAGTTGAGCAGATCAAAGACCGCCGAGTCGGTGATGGAGTCCCGGGCGGAGAGCTGTGGGGCAGCGGCGATGGGCGGTGCGGGGATTTGTGTTGGGCCCAGGGTGGCGTGGTGGGGGCCCAAGGCTAGGGGGGCCACGTGGGGGGCCACGTGGGGGGCCACGTGGGGGGCCAGAGGACCCCCGGCGGGTGGCTCTGCGAAAGCTTCGTCAGAGCCTCGATGACCATCACCTGCTCATGGCTGATGTCGCTTTGGAATCTTGGGGGGGAGGGGGGGGGGTGGGGGGGGTGGAGAGAAAGAGAGACAAGGAGAGAGACAAGGAGAGAGAGACACGGAGAGAGAGACAAGGAGAGAGACGAGACATGGAGAGAGAGACATGGAGAGAGAGAGACACGGAGAGAGACAAGGAGAGAGAGACAAGGAGAGAGAGAGAGAGACAAGGAGAGAGAGACACGGAGAGAGAGAGACAAGGAGAGAGAGACATGGAGAGAGAGACAAGGGGAGAGACATGGAGAGAGAGACAAGGAGAGAGAGACAAGGAGAGAGAGACATGGAGAGAGAGAGAGAGAGAGACGGATAGAGACAAGGAGAGAGAGACAAGGAGAGAGAGAGACATGGAGAGAGAGACAAGGAGAGAGACATTGAGAGAGAGACACGGAGAGAGAGACATGGAGAGAGAGACATGGAGAAAGAGACACGGAGAGAGACAAGGAGAGAGAGAGAGAGACATGGAGAGAGACAAGGAGAGAGAGACACGGCGAGAGAGACACACGGGGAGGGAGATGCACACGGGGAGAGCGGGAGAGAAGGAGAGAGAGAGAGAGGAACGGGGAGAGACACAGCGAGATAGACAGAGACACGGGGAGAGAGAGAGATGTCAATATGAATGAATCCTGCGTGCAAGTCCATTTCTCTAGTTAAACCCCCACTGAGCTGAGTAGCTCAATTTTCAGAAGCGAACTGCCCATCCCAAATGACAGCAGCGCAACAGATTGGCTCATCGTCATCACGTGGACATTTACAGCAGGTGACCACCACGGGGAGAACACGCAAACTCGAAATATACAGGCATAGCCACAGTTGGGATCGAACCCATGAACCTCCGGTAATACTCGGCGAAGTAGTTAACATCTAATCACCACGTCAATGGGTCACTGTATTAGACCTGCCCAATCCCTCCTCGCCTAGTGAACAGTTCTAGCCTCAGCCACCCCATCCTGTTGCCCATCAACACTGCCCGTCGGTGCATTGCCGCGTGCCGATTGCCGGCAGCAACGTCGCTGGATGGAGGTGTCGCGGTGGCTAGGGAGATGTTAACTCCCTCGCCTGGTGTACAGGAGGGTTGCGGGCTTCATCCCGACCCTGACGATGCCTGCCGCCGCCGCTGCTGCTGCTGTATATTTTGGAGTTTGCATCTGCCTCCCCTGTCTCTCTCTCTTTCTCTCTCTCTCCCCGATTATTCTCCAGGTTCTCCGTTTGTTTTTTCTCTCTCCACATTTTGAGCGATTTGGCTGCCGCTGCAAATTCCCACACCATGATAAGCCACTTCGTTGGGCTATCATATGTGACGACCAGGTCGGTTCTGAAAAAGACCGACATAGCCCAGTTAGGCCTAACCTGGTAAAATAAAAAATAAAAAATAGTTCAGTCTATGGGTCTCTATGCATCTCGATGAGTCCCTATGCGTATCGATGTGCATATCTGTATCTCTCTGGGTCTCTACGCATCTCTCTAAAACACCTACAGAGTAGTTGGCAGCTGCTATGAATTCCCACGTGATGAAGACAAGCCAGGTACACTGAGCCGTCATTTGAGATAGGCGGGTCCCGCTTCTGACAAAGAGCAGTACAGGTAGTCACCGAGTTACGAAGGTCCCCGACTTACGATACGTCGATCTCACGATGGCGATGGCGAATACGGCAAAGTCGTAAGATGTTTCACATTTCGCGCGGCAGGCAAACGCAGCGGCGAACGGGGCACGAGACTACTGGGCGTTGGGGCGCTGCCGGTATGCACGCATCTCACCACGTGTGTGATGCAGATATCGGATTGTTTCTTGAAAAAAAAAGCTTTATATTCAATTGCAGTTCATATCGGTACGCTAAGAATTTACCTAGTTTTTTTTTTTTACTTTACATTTTACTGTGCAATACAGCGTATAGTTTATACGGTACGGTGCTGTTAATTGGCTCTGTTTTTGCTAAATTATCACCATTCTTTAAGACTCCTGGGTAGGCTAGGGCCACCTTAGACTTACGATAGTTTTGACTCACGATGGGGGTCGTCATACACGCATCTCCATCGCTAGTAGAGGACTACCCTGTAGAACTCGGTGGACCTTACCGGGGAAAATTTTTTAAAAAAATGGTCTTGTTTTAGTTCATGATGGCCTTTACACTCACTCCTCCATCGCTCACCCAGGCACCTCACCCTCACCTCTGCGAGGTTGGACTCATGTTCCAGATGGTGTGCTGGCTGGATTGAAGGCTGTGGAGATTATCTGGGTTCCACGGCCATTGCTGATGATGATGATGATGCTGCTGCTGGTGCTGCTGATGATGTTGATGGGTGAGCAGCTGCTGATGCTGCTGCTGCTGCTGCTGATGCTGCTGATGCTGCTGATGGAGCTGATGTTGCCAAGCCTTCTCAAGGCTGGAGGCCTCGACATCTTCATTGGGAACCGGGAAATGAACCTGGCCAGGACAGGACGGGAGGTGAAGCATTGAGTTATCCGTTCACCTACACACTCATTCACCTACCCACTCATTCACCGACACCCTCATTCACCTACTGACTCACCTACCCACTCATTCATCTCCTCACACGCCTATGTGCTCATTCATCTGCTCAATCGCTCACTCGCCAACCCAATAATTCACCTGCTCACTCGCCTATGTACTCATTCACCCACTAACCTACTCACTCATTCACTTATGTACTCTTTCCCCTACTCAATCAACCTATCACTCGCCTACCAACACATTCACCTACACACTCAATCACCCAGAGACCCACCCATTCACTCAAAAGGGTGGATACTTTCTCTAGCATCTGTGGCAAGGTCGACTACACCTTGCCAGGCACTCATCCACTGACTCACTCACTCACCTACACACTCATCTACCAACTCACTTGCCCAACAACAACCGCCATTCGCCACTAAGTGGCGGTGACGTCACCACGACGCTTGTGCCAGGCCATGTGCACGTTAAGGCCACGCGAGGTGTTGAACGCCCGCTGGCAGAAAGTCACGGGACAGGCCCAGGTGTCATGGGTCAACTGGGTCGACTTACCCACTCACTCACCCACACACCCACCGAATCACACACCAGTTTTACTCATTTCGATTTAAAGCTTTCGTGACTGCAAGGATTCATCTTCTTTGGTTCTTTCGGTAAAATCACGTAGAATGAGAAAAAAATAATAAATTAATAAAATTAAATAACACAATAAAATTCTCACGACGTTTCGGCCACAACACAAGTGGCCTTCTTCAGGTGAAAGGAACATACCTGTCGGGACGACAGAGCTTCAATGAACGTTGTTAAGATGCGTAGCGTCATTTTAAGCTGGTTTAGAGAGGTGAGGCACCTTGACAAAGGGGTTTACATATAAAACAGTAGAATTTAGCATTGAAATAGCTGAGTGATTAGCTTGTGACTGGTCATAGAAATAGCTATGTTAAAGTCAAAGCTTACACATCCATTGTACTAGGTGCCTCTGTGGATGTGTAGGCTTTGACTTTAACATAGCTATTGCTATGACCAGTCACAAGCTAATCACTCAGCTATTTCAATGCTAAATTCTCCTGTTTGATATGTAAACCCCTTTGTCAAGGTGCCTCACCTCTCTAAACCAGCTTAAAAGTCGCTACGAATCTTAACAACGTTCATTGAAGCTCTGTCGTCCCGACAGGTCTGTTCCTTTCACCTGAAGAAGGCCACTTGTGTTGTGGCCGAAACGTCGTGAGAATTTTATTGTGTTATTTTATTTTATTAATTTAACAGTTTTATTCACTCAACTAAATCACTCATCTACCCACTCACTCAATCACTCGCCCACTGACGCGCACACTCACTCACCGACTCACTTGCCCACCGACTCCCCCACTGATTAACCGACTCACTCACCCACCCACCCACTCACTTCCAGGTTCTGGATATATATATATTTTACTGGCGCTATGGGATCTCCAAGTATTGTGGGAAGTTTCCATTTAAAGCTTTCGTGACTGCAAGGATTCATCTTCTTTGGTTCTTTCGGAAAAGTCACCACGTAGAATGAGAATAAAAAAATAAAAAAATAAGCTTTCATTAATTTCTTATTTTATTCTAATTCTACGTGACTTTACCGAAATAAGTCACGTAGAATGATAATAAGATAATAAATTAATGAGCTTTCAGTAATTTATTAATTTATTTTCATTCTACGTGACCGTACCGAGAGAACCAAAGAAGACGTTGTGGGAAGCTCACACAGAGTGAGCGGTGGTGCTGCTGACGTTGACGTCACGTCTAGACACTGCTCACTTGTCTCCAGCCACAGCTGGTGACGTGATGGGGGGGAGGGGAGTAAGGAGAGTGGGGTGTGAGTGGTGGATAAGGGGAGAGGCTTTGGGGGCGGGGGGCGGTGGGCGTTGGGAATCACGTGACCGCAGAGGCAACGTACGTACGTGTCTTCATTGTGAGTCATGACCTCTCTCTTCCATGGCTTGTGAATGCGACGGGGGAGGGGGATGGTGCTGCTGTTAGCACACTGCGCTACGAACCAGAGAGGTACGCCGAGACACCCACGAATACGCCCTGTAAGGCCGGAACAGACTGCTGGGGCAAGTGCTGTTGGCAAGAAGCACCTAGAAAGCCCGGCAGGGCACACGAGAGGCTGGGCGGTCACCTTTGTCTCCCCTGCGGCGATGTCTACTACACACCGCACCGGGTACTCATTTGAGGCCGAATCGACCTATGGGAGGGGCCCAGGACCGGTTGAAATAATCCTCGTCACTGGTGTTGGCCGTGAGCAGGAATCCAACAGTGCCACCGGGTTCGTAGCGCAGAGTGCTACTGCTACAAAAAGACAAAGACAAAGATCCCCCATATAGCCTTAACAGACTGTAGGGGCAAGCGCCGTTAGAGAGCACCCTATGAAGGCCGGAACGGCACACGAAGGGGGTGGGTGGCCAGCACCACGCCCGACCGCCTTTGTCTCCCTCAGTGGCGATGTTTACTACACACCGCACCGGGTACTCATTTGAGGCTGAGTCGACCTACTGCTACACACACACACACACACAGATACACATACAGATATGACAACAGCTGCCATTCATCACCAAGTGGCGGTCACATCGCAACGGCGCTTTCGCTAGGCCAGGCACACTCCAAAGCCACTTGAAGTGTCGAAGGCTCGCCGACAGATCGCAGGACAGACCGAGGTGCTATGGCTTGCCTGAGATGACTGGCAGATCCACCACTTCTGTCCCCTACTCTGCCAACTTGCAGCTCGTTATTGTGAGTGTCTATCCTCTGCCCTCAATTGTAGTTGGAGCGCGGACACCTTCAACTTGTCCAGCAACGCCCTTCACGGGCCACCGCCACAGAGGCTGATCTTGACACTGCTGGTACCAGTCTTCGGCAATTACAACTCGGCTCCACATGCTTCTGTACTGCGTGAGTCAATTTTTTTTTCTCTCTCGCCCATGCCATGCCCCTTCAGCCCCCTCTATCCGGCGCAAACAGAAGCTACGTTTGATGAGCATGCGGGTTCCTTGACCCAGCCAACGCAGCCTTGCCCGCTGGAGGAACTCATTGGTGGGAATATATCTAGATCTTTCAAGGATTTGTGAGCTCCTTACACAAACCATTCTGGTTAAACTCAGGATGGATCGTAGGCAGGCCAGCCTGAATATTTCTAATTGGCACAGATGTTCCATTAGTGGGGTCTAAGTTTTTTCAAACGTAGAGAAGGGAGGGCATTAAAGTAGCCGAGAAGACCCGAAGCTTCGTGTGGAGCGACAGACCATGTAGCTTCTACACAGCCGTAACGCAGCCAATGGAAAGATAATGCCGATTGATTCGGAGACATCTGCTGTCAAACTGGATCTGGTCATTAGCACACTGCCCAGGTATGGAAAACTCTCTACTCTTCCCACAACTCCCCCGTCACCAATGGCGGAGTTGAGGGGGTGGAGTGTTTGATGGCACAAAATACGCAGGCAGGTGCTTAGCTTTGGTTGGGGCTCTCTTAGTGACACGCGCAAAGGTCAAGCAACAGCGCCTCCAAATCCATCTCTGAGTGAGCAGCAATCACCTGATCGCCAGCATACACAACATGTTTGACCAGTAGGGAGACATCATCCCTCGGCCGTATCGGGACATCGATCCGCCTCTCATTGTATTTAAAACGATTCATTTTAAACTATTTAAACAAAAAAAATAGCTTACAAGGTAAGGCCCACTAAGCTATATATCTCGTTTTTCTGAAGCAACCTGGTCTAAAAAATTAAAGCTCAACATAGCGGCTCACCCTGTGGAAATGCAAAGCAGGAAAATACTCTAACACCAGTGGTTCACAGCTTAAAGGTCGCGGTCTGAGCTTGGCTGTGTTCGCTCCAGCGCTGTCCTCTAGACAGTCTGGTCCCTTCACCTGATGAAGGCCAAAGAGTACCAGTGGCTCTGTAACCTTTACAGCAGCCTGCACCCATTTACTTCTCATCTCGCACCCCCCCCCCCCCCCCCCCAGGGTGTGCGTGCACCCCGGGTTAAGAACCACTGCTCTAAAAGAATGTTTCTGTGCCAGATAAAAAAAAAATTGCCTCCGGTCCAGCCACGAAAAGCTTCTTGAACCGCGTGGTCGAATATCATGTTAAATAATGTAGGAGCTTTACCCAGGGCCTGCCCGCCAACATGAAGGTGCTTAATGATTGTGAGCAGAGTGAGGGACTCCGAAATCATGAAGAGCAGCCAGAGCCCTTGCTTATTGACGGTATCATAGGGCTTGACAAGTTCAATAAAGCAGAGATGTAGGTCCTTTTGGAATTCCCTACACCTCTGCTGTAACACACGGACACAGAATATGGCGTCTGTGCAAGGACCGCCCTTTCCTGAAACCGCATTGGGGCTCTGCAAGCCTCTCCTCAGCGTGCCTGGCAAGGCGATGTTGAATAATCCTTGCCAGGACCATCCCTGTCACTCAGGAGGGAGATGCCCCTGTAGTTGTTACAGTCTGTGTGGCTCCCCTTCATAAGGCGGGGAACCACCATGGGCATCCTTCCAATCCTGCGGAACCCGTCCTTTGGTCTCGACAGTTGTGATGATTTTAAATTTTGATTTAAAGCTTTCGTGACTGCAGTAATTCATATTCTTAGTTTTTTCGGTAAAGTCACGTTGAAGAGAAACAACAAAATAATAATAAAATATATATAAAACAATAAAAAATTCTCACGACGTTTCGACCATAACTCAAACGGTCATCATCAGGTGTGTTGGTTTGCATAATTATATTCTTGGTTCTTTCGGTAAAGTCACCACCACGTAGAAGGGAAACAATAAAATAATAAAAAATATAAAACAATAAAATTCTCACGACGTTTCGACTGCAACACAAGCAATCGTCATCAGGTGTGAAAAACACGTGGCGTTAACGTGAAAAAAACGCCACTTTTTTCAAATTTTCTCGTTGTGGTTTTCACACCTGA